TCGTTCAACGCATGACCTCTGTGAACGGCGGATAAAAACTGCACATATGATTCGGTGGATGCAATAGGAATTTTGTGAATAGAAATGTCGAAAATTGCCACCCTTACTCTTACTACAATTCTTCTAAAAAACCACGGCCAAATGACAGGTAATAAGGATCGCGCCACGTAAGATATTTCAATCCTGTGATATAACTTAATGATTTATACATGTAACGAGCACCAGAATTTAAATTCATAACACTCTACGTGGGTCAATTGACTCATCTGTCCACATCCCGGATTGTAATCTACGTGCTGACAATACCAAGGCACGTAGATGCCTGAGACTGATAGGGCCATCTATAAAAAGCATGTCACCATACGTCACCTATCTAGAGCTCCGCTATATCTCTTCGCATAACAACCTATCAAACTATACGAAACATAAAACAAAAAAGATTGCCTTTCATGAATAATTGTTATTGCTGCGCATAGTATTCTGCGTTATCCTGGCATGTCGCGGATCTTGAATTAGGAAGATCTATTGTCGAAAATCTTGTTTCACGGAATTCTGTTCTGTAGAATGCAGTTCTTCCGAGAGAAACCGTCTGTCATGAATGATCACTAATTAGTATTCTGTAGCAATCATCAAGGTATGGCGGGTATCTTGTTTTAGGAATTTCAGTTGTCCTTCTGGCTTTATTATTTTTTATTTTTTATTTTTTATTTTTTATTTTTTTATTTTTTAAAATTTTCCTTCTCAGATCAATTCATCATTAAAATGCCAGCGGAGCATAGCTTATAGCAAACACGTTCCGGGCCGTAGCTCTGGCTTGTGCTTCAAATTAATCACGTATACACACATCAAATGCCACGGAAGTAGAACTCCTCATATGATCCATCCGTAACCGACACGTTTGATTCAACTACGTACTGTCGACAATTTCGAACACATAGATATCTGATAATGCGAGCCCTATCAAGAAACGTACCTCGGCATAACTTGCCCTACGAAGAACTAATCCGGTTATTCTAAGACGACGCAATAACTACTCACACGTACTGATCAAGCTATCTGAGACTTAAACGAGTAACGATAGCCCATCTTGACGATGGCACAACACTAAAATCCTAGAACGATCATGACCTCCCGCAAGAAGAAAGGAATTAGGTATTGGATGACAAAAACAAAAACAAACACAAAAAAAAACGATCACCGGTTTTTCGCATCATGATCGCCTCGTAACCAACCATTCGCGATTAGTACAACCGTTTCGACGATAACAAGGTAGCCTGAAAACGTGTCTACCATACCTTCATATCATAGTAGAGACTAACACGCATTAGTGCACAAGCATCCCCAATGCTGATGTGGGTTGCCGAAACTATACATCACAATTTACCGAAACTAGACCTAAGGGTTATCAGTCTTGATGAAAATCCAGTAAGAAAGCCTATACCGACGCTTTTTTGACCATGCATGGGTTGCACACAAAAGATACAAAGTAATAAACAATGGATTCCCCTTACAAAAGTGCATCAAAATAACGCAGAACACATTAAATAACCAACACAAATATTAACCATTCAGATGCTCACCACACGACACCCTGACCATAATAAACCAACAAAATCACTAAGCGTGTGTGGCTAGCGCAAACAGCGCTAGATGGTACGGATGGAGGACTCTTTCCCATGAGGGGGACGAGTCTGACATCCGTACCTGCTCCCCCTCATGGACCCCATCACGTGGGAACGAGGGAGGGACACACACACACACACACACACACACACACACACACACATACACACACACACACACACACACACACACACACA